TGTTGTTCGACTCGTCGTATACGGCGAATCGCAAAGCGGCCAAATCTGGGAGGACGACTTTTCTGAAGAGAAAGGGCTCTTCATTGTACACGGGATTCAGTCCGTTGGCGGGGACCACTCTTGTGCGAAATTCCTTACGTATCGTGTCGGTCGGTAGGCCGTACATTTCAACCTCCACGTATGTCCCGACTTTCTTGTCGGATAAGAATTGACCCGCTATTACCTGTTATGATAATGAATCAAAATCGAATTTTTTAAACATTTTATTTAATGAATGCGAAGAAAATTTACGATGTAGGTATATAGATTGTTTAATGACGTTGTCCAAACACACAATTCGATCTTTAAAGTAAAAAAAAAAAGAGTAAAATTCTCTAAAACGCAGCATCGACTAGTCTGAATTGTCATTGTTCATCGAAAAAAAAAGAGAAACATGCCTGAACACTGCATTGTGTCGCGATCACTCCGTCCACGGGGCTCTCCGCGAAAGGATCGAAGCTCCTATCGGCGCGTCTCATGAAATCCGGCTTCAACAAATAGCCCGAAGAGCCGTTGTACTCGAACTTGCCTTGATTCAGTTGCATGGGCAGATCCGCGGTCTGGAAGTTCAGCGACACCATTTGGCAGCCAGCGTTCCAGAAGACCTGTTTTGCGACGATCGATCATTGAGTGACTTTTCTTCGTGGCCCTTGTAGCGCAAATCGCGCACTACGAGCTGTATTTACCTGCGGCATATAATTGGAAGAGTCGGCTCGCGTGCCTTTCGGATAAATACGGCTCATCTGCCGCTTGTTGTAATTTACGAACTCGATGGCCGATGTTTTCAAATAGTTTAAACCAGCAGTTTCCGCGAAGGAAGACATATTGTGATGAAAGTTCTTTTCTAAAAATGGTAATTTATTTATGAATCACACATAATAATATAAATGTCAATGCAATCTGCATTTAAAATAGGTAATAAAATAAAATTAACATATTATTTCAATATTCCAGTATTGAAAAAATAAATACGTAGTAGACAATATTTTTAGTTGCTATTAAAAAATAATAACATTCGAGTATAATTAACTTTTTTCGCAAAATGCAAAAATTTCGCTTACGTTCGGCAACATCGAAACCAGCGAACTTGATGGGTTGTGCATAGTTGACCATAGATGACAGCCACGGATGTACATTCGTGGTACTTCCGGTATAAGGTTGAGCCGCTACTAGCTCAATGCTTTCACCGAGACTTGGACCGCTGCCAGACTGCTGCTGTTGAATGCTCGACACTGTCACTGATGATTCGGATATCTCTTCCTGAAAACGAAAAGAAATATCGTCGTTTCGACAACGGAGCTACGGTCATTTAATTTCATTAAAGTGAAGGGGTACTACGATTTTTCAACTAAGGATCATAATAAAAGTTACCTTTACCGGTTCCACGACGGCGGTGACGGCCGGCGGCGCGCTCGCGTCTTCTTTGACCTCGTCCTCGATCACGAATTGACCTTGCATAAAGAGTTCGAGCTCTTGCTTTTCGACTTCGGACTTTAGGCGCTTATTTTTAATGAGAATCTTGCGTTTCAGCATACTGGGCGGCGGCAGCGGTACGCCCGGCTCCAACTATTTCAGTAACGATTATAAGTGCGTTTAAAACCATGTGTTTTAAAAGCCGCAAGGTCGACTTATTTTAAGTGTAAATTGACCTAAAAAATTCTTTTTAATATTCTTTATATTTATACGTTTTACGTATCCGTATTCTAATTGTCTGATTAATTGATGGAAAAACTTACGGGATAATCCTTCAGCGGTTCTTTCAACAATAAATCACCCAGAATTTCATCACAGTACTTGGCCAGCTTGTATTGCTGCTTCTTGCTACAATGATTTTCAAAGCTGAGTATCACCGGATATTCCGATGTAACGAAGGCCGTGTCTCTGACCGCGTATATAACCTCCTTGAATAGGATGTCGGTGCACATGGCTTTGCCGTGAGTGATTATTGGTTCCTCGTCCTCCCCTTTGCCGTCCCAACAATCCAATTCGACGCATCTTTAAATTCGGAATAAAAGAAAGAAAAGTTAGAATCCATCGTATTGATTATCGGTTATTCGTTTATCACAAGATCGTTTTCCATTTATTTAAATAATAATTATTAAATTAATTCACAAATCAACAAATTAAAAGCAAAATATTGCAGGAAAAAATAAAACATCTGTAATTCTAATTAATTAATCCAAACAATAGTTATAAAAATATCAATACGTTATTGTATATCCCTAAAGTCTACATATATATTGTAGCTTATCGTGAAAATGGAGTTATTTTCGACTATGCATTATGATTATAAAATAAAAATAACTATTAATGATGCATCGATTTCGTGTCAATATATGATATTTCATATTCAAGTAGACACTTGGCAATCTGGTGCGATCGATGTAGTTATAAATATGCACCAGCTATTGGGGGAATTTCGCCGGAGCGTATCCTAAATCGGGTATTATCATTTCCATATTTTATAGCAGCGTATTTTACCTGCATCCGGCGAGTAGAACTTGTCTATACATTTCAACACTGCTCTTCCCGCCAAATTGCCGTCCGCTCAGGTATGTGTTGTGGCTCGAATTGATGTAGTAGTGCGCCAAAGACTGGTCCATATCCATATAAACGTCCAGTCTGTCGAGAAAAACTGGCGCGTTCTCGTCGGACATCAGGTACCTTATGAAGCCATCCTTCGTCATCGTTTCTGAAAGTGTACGATTACTTGAAAAAAAAACTCGTTTAATAACTTGAGTTAAATCCTTCATTAATCTTTCAGCCGTGATCGAGCTAAATGAGTACTAGTTGTTCACCAAGCGAGTCGACTTAGTTTTACATATTTATTAAAATTTTCCTTATCATTTTTCGATACCGTGATATATTTTTCACATCTCAAAGCTAATAAAATATCTACAAGAGGATCAGTATTCTTTTTTTACAAAGAGCAAAAACGAGCAGACTTAGTTTCGGAAAAGTTTAAAAGCGAATAAAATATTTAAATAAAATATCTAATATAAAAGAATGAAAAGTTTTTGTAAAAGGAATAAAAACGAGCAAATTTAGTTTTGAAAAGATCGATGGTCCAAGAGAAATTTTTTGCCTCAGTTACATGATTTATCAAGCTCTTACTTTCGTTCCGCACAACTTCGTTCTGCTCGTAATCATTGATGATCTCCAACGCCCGTTTCTCATCGTAAAGTGGATAGAGAATTTCGTTCAGGGTCGGATCTCTTTGCTTCTCGTTGAGAAAAGTAATCAGTTGCTCCAAATTAATCGTATCGGCCTTACCCTGCGTTCTGGAATTTTCAGAATAAATAATCGGTCGTCATGAATTCGAGCAGAGCTTCTATTTGCATTACATCAGAACAAGTATCAACTATAAAGTAGTTGTAAAGAGTAATATGTGTAAAGCGTAATAATTCTCTATACATATTTTTTATCTATCATTACTTCTGTATTTAATATTAAAATTATATAAATTTATAATTAGCAATTTTTATTAAGAAGATTATTATTATACGTTTTAAAAAATATTTTGTATCTCCAAAATGAGTACTCACATAGATTGAAACAATTCTTCTATATCGTTTCTCGGGCATATTTTATGATAAAGCGCGTAGAATGCGTCAAAGGTGAAGTCATCAGGTTCTATCACGTCGTTCTAAGCATAAAAATAGTCTTTGCAGTATTTTCGCGAGAAACAAAAGTCCCATCGATAGTTTATTCTAACAATTATTAAGATACCTTTCCGCTAGGTAGGCCTAACTCGGAGAGACACTGGTAAACGAGCTTTTCCGTCTTGCCGGACGCGAAAGTTCTCGCGACCACCTTTACTGGAACCTTGCCATTAGGATCCATCAGCATTCTGAGTCGCATCCAGCTAAAATAGCGCAAATACCGCTGATTCAGGTCTATGATTCTAACACTTTTTTGAAATTTGCAAGCAAAAATTTATATATGCAAATCAATATGGCGTGAATTTTAAATTTAAACAAATATCACAAATTTTTTTTATTAAACTTTTGGTTCTGTGAAATCTACATTTGTAAAACATATAATAAAATGTAAAGACTTAAAAAGGAAGACAACTTATAAAACATTTGCGGATGAAATAAGCAGAATTTTCCTGCAATTGCAAGTTAAATATTCTTTTACGTCGAAAAAGAATTAGAAAAATGTTCCATGTGTCAGTCGTGACACATTTACGGCTAATTATTTCTCAGAGGTAAACAGTACCGCTGTTTGCAGACATTAGTGCAAGCGTATATAAATGCATTGGCAAACTCACTGTTTCTTCAGACATGTAAGCGGGCAAACGTTATTTGCTTTTACGTTATGCGTAATCGATCGAACACCGTCCAGCCATACCTATGACGACACACAGAAGTAACGTCATGTAGATTGTTCTTTTTACAGAAGGAAAAGATGTGCTAAGCACGTACAGATATAAAGAATTTAAATCACACGAGTCAGTAAAACTATCTTATCAGTCATTGCATTGCAATATTGCTATATCGTGGATAGATAAATGCTATTTATACACAAAAAAGAATAATTATCTTCTGATAAAATAAAAGTAAGAATAAATAATTTTATCGTGTTGAAAGCTGGAACAATGGAATTGCAACATTGTATACTGATAATGTTTTTATGACATTCTGTATAAAACATTAACAGCGTATCTGATTTTTAATTATTACAATTGACTTATAATGATTTGGCATTTAGAAAAACCGAAATACGTGAAATTAACAGGTTTCGAATAAAGAGTAAGTCGATAATATCTTAAATACTGCGCGACAATACTTTAAACGCACAGTACTTAAGCATTTATGTACTGTTTTAATAATAGCAAATTGCGGAGGTTTGTAATAATAGTTTAACATAACAAGTACGCATGGCGAAGGGGTCATAGAACGTGACAAAGGAATCGCGATTGTAGGATACGATACATAAAACAGTGTATGGCGCCATTCACGCTACTGCCACGTCACTACCAGTTATAGCAATTGACGATAAAATCAGGAAAATCTGGAAAACGATAGTTGAACACGCAACGTCATTAAAGAATGTTAATACAAACCGATTAAAAAAATTTCATAATCGCATTTATATTATAGCGCATTGATATGACATTACTTGTCCTTTTATTGCAGAAGTTATCGCGAAGATAATAATTTATTACTTTTATTTATCAATTCATAATAATATAGGTATTTATTGTCATTAATAAATCTTTATTACTAGTTAATGAATGAATAATAAATTAAATTGCAATTATAACCTAATGTTATTAGTACAATAAAATTATGTTAATTAGTATAATTGTGATAAACGCGACTGTCAAACGGTAATTTCAGTAATAATATTAAATGTATATATAGTTCGTTGTGTTGATTAGCCAGCCAATTATAGTTTACTTAAATGATAGATTTGACGGCACGTGGATGCTATGTTTCCGTCATTATCACGATTAAAATGCCACACGTATGTTACCTTGGCTGTAGCAGGATCCGGGCACACGACATGCTGATAATTGATATTAGTATAATCGACACCGGAACAGATGGTTAAACTTTTCTCATCCAACTGTTCGCCGTGTTTGCTGAGTAGCTTGTCAAATAACTTTGGATCCTGTTTAAAACGTGTATCGGTTATTAGTTGTTTCTTTCTTTTTTTTTCTTATTTATTTGCTTGTCCGGCAAACTTCTTTGCTTGCATAATTATTTTATTTTCTCAGTGATTTCTTTCAAGAAGTATAATGATAATGTCGTAAGAACAGCGTATAATATGCGATATTATCATAAATTGCATCACGTAATTTATGGACATCATTAAAGAAATAATGATTACATAAATACATTGATGGAATTGATATCTCTCTGTACTTCCCCATGTTACATTTAAAAAAATAAATATATCAAGTATTACATCACCTTTTTCTCTTAGAAAAATAATTCTAATTAATCTTAGTAAAAAAACTCAACGCTAAAAAAAACTCATTTTGGAGCACATTATTAAAATAATCCCTTTACCTTGGGAACGCCTCCGGCTCTGATGTCGCTTACTTGACACAACTCTATAACATCGCCATCCTACAGAAAGAGATAATAAGATAAGATAAATATTTATTGAGGATTTTGTAGAGGTTTTGCTGAGAATCTTCGCAATTTCGTTCTTTTGTTGAAAGAAATAAAAGGGCGCAAACAGCGGAAGAAGGGCTCACCTTTCCCTCGCTTTGCCAATAGATGAAGAAACCGTACTCGTCGACCTTAAACAGGCAATTCAGCTCGATTTCAGTGTTATCCTTCTCCTCCGTCCAACGATCGAAGATGCAGCCGGTGCGGAGTGCTTCCGGCACCTCGATCTGCCAGTTGAACTCGAATCTCTTCGTCATCTCTGCGGCGTTCCACCGACTTCCGGCAAAGTCAGCCTAGATACAGCACTTTCCGCTTCTGTCAACAGCGACCGACGTTGCCATTAAAGACATTGGAGCTTTATCGGACTGTCTTCTCTACACTGCAACCGCCATCAAGTCACATTTCGAATCACACGTGATATCTGCTTCTTGTTCAGAACTTTGAAGGCAGATATTTATACCACGTATATGTTCGTTTGTAAATTGTTCGCCAATAAATTAGGAATTGCGTATTTGAGTGAGACACCATATGTTTCAGGCTATCGCTCTTGAAACTTTAATATTTATTTGTTTCGTACATTTAACATTTAATTATTATTACGATACTAAAAGTTGCTTCTGAAAATTATTGTAAGTAAAATGATCATTTTTGGTTTCAAAATTTAGAAAAATCACTAATTAATTTTTTTATTTAAAAAAAAGATGCACAACATTAAGTTACTTCTATTATCATTTATAATTAAATTTTATTCTCGTTGTTATTAAAGCAACTTTTTCTCGTGTTATTCCTTTTTTATGCAATTCACATTTTTAAGAGTAAAGATGAATATATCTTTGTTCGCTTAGGTCAACATTTAATATTCAACATCCTGTCAAAAGTCATTTTTTTCTTACAATATTATGTTCACCTTTGATCTATCGAGTGTGATATTTCTTTACCTATATTTAGAAAATAAAATAACATTAAATAATGTTTGACATTTAAAAATTACAGAACACCTCAACGTTCATACAGTTTTATTATCTTTTCTCTTCATTACATGCATAATTTTTTTGTTATTTATATTTTGTCTCTTTTTGACGTTACGTAAAAAGCTTGAAAGAAGTATCCCTCGCACCCTGTTTTTTCTCTCTTTATCTCTCTCTCTCTCTCTCTCTCTCTCTCTCTCTCTCTCTCTCTTGTAGATATTTATTATTTCTATTTTTAAGCCTTAGAAAAGCTAAAGAATAGTTAATCTTAGCCACGGAAGTTAAAAGAATAGAATCTATAATAGCTTTAGCATTCGCGTGGAAAATAGAGGAAAAAAGGATGACATTGAAAAAAGACGTCATTGTGCACTTCACGTACAGCAACTAAGTCTTTTTTTTCTTGCACAAACTAGCTTTATAAAACGCTTTCAGATGTTATAAATAAATATCTTTTGTGTGACATGCGGCGCTAACTATAATGCGTAAGTTCTGAAAGGTCTATTTTATGATTATTATATTTAGCAATATAACTGAACCCTTTTCACCTCCTAAAAGTACGTAGAAATATATATCTTTAAGAACTGAATATTAATGTAAAAAATATTTTACTTGAATCGACTTTTAAATTTTGGATAGTCGATAGTTTATCACGGTACAGAGAATTTTTTGGCATCGATGCACCGATTAACCTTTATGGCAAACCAACGTTACGTAGGACGAAGTGCACGTAAATGTTGCCGAGTGAAAATAGTTACATTAAAAAATTTTGTTGCGTTTGTATATTATTGCAACAGTATCATGCAGCCAATAAATGAAAATATTTATTAATAATAGCGGTATGATTGTAAAGACACTTACAATGTTAAGAGCGTCTTTTCCGGGTTGACTTGCTCATTTTAACTTGCGGCTGCACCTGCAGGAAAAGAAATTCAGTAAACTTTAATACAATTTTTCATAATTAAAAGTTGCGGTCAATCAATATTCTCAGTAATGCAAAATTTTTGCTTGAAAGTAGATACTTCAAATATGATATTATTATGGAAATCTTATGGAAAAGAGAAAAAACATCTCGTTGTATTTTCTAATATCTTTAATTTAAAAAATCTAATATTTAATTAATTCGGAGCTATTTATTTTATTGATAGCATATATGTAGAATATAAAAGAGCGAGTTTCTTTTTAAGTTGACGTCATTCACCAAATAAATTATGAGCACGATTGAAATAACACGATCTAAGTATACAGGAAATGACGCGCATCTGCTACTAAATATTTAAGTAAAATATCTCTATATCTATCTTTATATCTAAAATAATAAAAACCGACCGTTTTAAAGATATTCGATTTAAAAAAATGACATCGAGACCAATATTAAGTGTGTTTCATTTTTAAATGTTAAGCTTTTTAATTACAGGGAAAGTGATTTCTTATTCGATTTGTAATGCAAATTATTTATTCCCTGGAAGTAAAATCTATTTTTCTTTTAATCTTAAACCTTTTTCAGGTGTGTCAAGCTTATTAATTCAGAATGTCAAATGGCACTCATTTCCCGCATGGTTATTACCCTTACGTCATTCCATTTTATTAATAAGTGTGTTAATTATGCTCTACGGGCAGGCACGTGTTTTTCTAAAATACTTTCTTTTCGTTCCTCGTGTGATTAAATGGCTCAATCGATATCTTCATATAATTACTACAGACTTACGTAACAGAGTACTATAGAGCAGTAATGTTACGTAACGTTTACGAGAAGAGTGTGAAACCCAAATATTAATTCTAAGTTTTATAATGATTACGATGATGTATCTTGATAATAATAAAAAATAATATATCTATATAAAACTAACGTTCTTCTATATAAATTATTCTTTCCAGGACTTATTTCTGAAAGTTTCTTGTTTATCAATTACAATAAAAGCAAAATAGTGCATAGATTTATAATATTCTTTCTCGGACTTGTCACTAACATAATAGAATTAAAAATGAATGCGCGACTTATAATTTCCAAAAAATAGTTATATGTTTCTTGGATTTTATTACTACTGCTGAAAAACGCATTATTTTTTCTAATATTTTTATTAAGTTACTTAGTTAATCAAAATTGTTATTGATGAGATTACTTTACGATTAAACGCCCTCTTCCATTATCCAGATTAAAAATACATTAAAGTAATTGCGAAGGGCGGTAAACAACAGCGAGTGACGTGTCACTTCCAAGATTTTTATTAATAGATGTCATGGCATTTCATTGCGTACGTAAAGGCCTTTCATATCTTCTCTAATACCTGCCTTTATATAATTATTAAACAACTTGCACACACAATATCTTTTAAATAAACTAAAAGTACACTTATATATTGCAAAATTTTCGATGTTTTACATAGTTTTTCCATGTTAAAAGTTTAATAATTATAAAAGAAACACGATAATTATGCACACATATTTGAATATCCAAAAGAAATATACAAAATAACAAATTATAAACCATCTAGATTTAGAAAAAATGAATTTAAAATGTTACATTATTTAACAAATAAAGTGTATTTTAAATATTTTTTATAATCAAGTAAAGATGAGTTTTTTATTGTCCTTTTTTATATTGTGATACTTCATAGCAATCGTTTAACTATTTTACTATAATGTTTGCGTTATGTAATCTTGCGATAATAAACGTTACGGAAAAGTTTTATTACTGATGCTGTCAGTATCAATATGTATATCGTTAACGGATATTCCAAGTTTTATCACGACTTATCTTAATTAGTGCACTCGGAAATGGAAGTTGCAGGCTACATTCTGCACGTGCATATTGTGTGCCAACATGAAAAGGCACTCACTATCAAGTTTACGTTTTTAAGCGCTGTCGTAAAAATGTTTGCAACAGACCTACTCTTACTTACTCGCAAAAAATATTAGACTGTTTAAAAAAATTGGTAACCAAAGTTTTATAATATTACAGATTTATTGTAAATCCTATGCTAATTAAATCTTTCACAAATTAACATGTATAAATTTATAAATATATTTAAATTATCATATTATTAAAACATGCCCGTATTTTAAACTATCTGGTATTGATCTATAATTTTTAATCCTTTTATCTCCAGAAATTTCAGAGATAAAAAATCGTCTCAAAATATTTATTCTGTAAGATCTCGGAAACTTACGATTTTTAAATAAAATTTAAATCTGAAAATGATTGAGTGGAAAATTATGTAGAAGATCATATAAATGTTGATTCAGTATATTAATAATAATATATATATATATATAACAATAAATCATAAAACTGTGTAAGCATCACTTTAAGAAATTAGATACTTAGAGATGAAGAAGATAGAAGATTGCATGCAAGATAGTAATGGATAGTATATTGTCAAGTGACTCAACTAACAGAGATAAAAGTTTCATAATATAACATCTCGTATAATATATTTTTTGTAACGACATTATACGTGGATAATGTTACTTAAAAGAGATATAATAATATTTAGGAAATTATAACTGAATATTAGCCAAATGGCTATATATATCTTTTATAATAAATCAATTTTTAAAAACAATATATAAAGGACCCTATTTAATCTTTTAATCCTCTAACTTAATCTATATTGCTGATATGATTTATAAAAAGTAGATTAAACAAAATAAAATAACGAGATAAAATCAGACATATTATGAAAGCAACTTTTCCTCGGAAAGGATAAATGCAAAATTTATGAAAATATAGTACGACAATCTTGCTAAATCACCATTTGCAAAGTTAACCACGACTTCCGAGAAATAACCGCATCCTCGGATATTTTTTGCTCGCAGCGATTTATCCTCGGAAGAAGAATTCGATTGCTGTCATAAAGTTGCCAACGATCAGCTAATGTCGCAATTTTGCCGGTGAAATCCACGTGCCGACCGTAAACAAGATTCGAAAACAAGGATTATACCGTGAAATACCGCAAAAATATGTATTTACATTGACTAAATCCGCAAATACTCGCATGAAGATATACGGAGGAATATCACGCTCGCGATGCTCGCCACGAGCGCAAGTGTACACCGAACCATTAATACGGATGTTATACAGCACGTGTAATCGACCACCGACGTGTATCTCACAGATACGTGAGTACATCGCGTGTGTCTATATAAATACGTATGTGTATACAGGGTGCGTAAACAGATGAACGCTACGAAAATATAATGTATGACTCGTGCCGCTGCTCTGCCCCTTCTCGTCGTGCAAGCATGATGAAAACGTTCTTGGCGCCTGACAGCCGTGTATTCCCACGAACTGACCGTATTAACGTCGTGCTATAATCATTACGATCTTTATCGTGGCCTAGCGACTTGTTAACACGGCATTGAGAACACCAAGATGGCGAGTAAAAATAACATTGAAGAGATGAATCGATTTGATTAAGATTATCTCCATTATCATAATTAAGCATTGCTAAATTCGTCGGCGATGTTAATTATCTTGAAATAGCGGGAAAAAACTGCTTGATGTAATACACTCAATTTGAAGATGACATTCGAGAAATAATGTTTGTAAAAATAAAGAATACAGAAATTTTAATTTGACTACAAATTTTTCTTCTGATAATAAACATATTAATGTTGTATCGATATTTTGTGAATATTTTTGCTCATTAATATTACGTGTATCACAGAATTATTATTTATTACAATATTTCTCACATTCGGCTTTACATGTTTCTTTTTGCAGTACAACATCCATACACGATATCCAATCTTTCAATTACTGACGAAAATTAATCTTCTAGTTATCGTATTTTTGCACTGATAACGAGTAAAGTTGTTACTCTCGCCAATTAAAAGGATGATATACTATTTAATATTAATTCAAAATAATTCCTAAGAATTACTGGTTTAATATACCTGCTGCCACCCGAAGCCACGTTAATAAAGCGCAAAATGCAGCGTTGCAAAACGGAGATCTGTCCAAGGCAGAATCTGCATAATCAGCAAAAAACGCAAGGATATTAAATCATGTTTGTTGCAGAAAACTAATCGCTAAATGACCGTGATTCCATTACCTAATGCGGGTCAATAATTATATACATTCCCAGAGCTTCTTTTTGGAGGTTGAATTACACCGCCGCGACATTGATCGTTCAAATCGTTTAATACATCTAATAGTCACTTTAAGAAGAATAAAGGCAAATGAGACTTATGACCCCACTTGCTGTCCTAATTTTTAAGTAGGCATATTTAGATTAAAAACAGTATTTAAAATTAAAATACTAATTAAGTAATTTTATTGATGTCAAGATAAAAGCTTTTAGCGAAAATATTCTCTCGTGAAACAGGTGAATCTAATATTTATCTAAAATATCTCTTATAAATCTTTTATCTGTTACAATATCTGTATGTTTATTTGTATTTTTTCTTTTGTTTATAAATTCTACGATTACACGATCAAACTTTGAAACTGAATACGAATTGTTGATTATCTCTTCATTATTTGCATAATAATATGTAAATTTCAACTGATTTCAATATCTTTACGACATGTAACATCATCAGAGGGAGAGAATATTTATATATCAACAGAAGAGAATATTTATAATATTTTATTTAACTGATGTTAAAATATATGCGACATTAATGTAAACAAATATTATTGAGAGAGAAGGATTTTCTTCGCAATTATTTATAAAATACCTGTCCAATATTGTAAAATCTGTTAAATATTAAAATGTTTTATCCTTATTTTGATGCTGAATTATAATACATTTCCAATAAATTCTAAAACGACTGATGAGCTAAAGCGGAATATTTTCATGGCGTGTTGATGGTTCTCAAACAAACAATAGCACATGACTTTGTTATTATTAGCTACGGAATCGTTATATTTCTGGTCGATATCGGTCGTATTGTGATTTTGAATAGACATCAGATAGCTCCGATAAAAAAATTACCTATTATGCAATATGTTTACAGTCGTAAATGCACATAACGATGCACTTACAGGCTTGCATTCCACGTGGTTAACGCGAGCGATGATTCACAATTTGCATTATCGTCGAAATTTACGAGCGCGTATCCCGTATAAGATGTAACTCACCAGAAGATCACAAATATTTCAAGATACACATAGATTCGCGTATCTAAAAATATACGTACATTTTGCAGTACGGTGCGTGTGCACGTAGTATGCGCGCGCTGTTATGTAAACTAACGCGTTTACATATTAACTCGAGAATATAAAACCCGGTTTGCGTTGTATATTTCGCAAAATTGTCATTTAATTATATAATAGCGTTAACATTCTTCTCTCAAACAACTATTGCATTTTCACAGTAAAGTTATTCTGGGAAATCCGCAAAACAGCATTATTGCACAAAGAAACAAGATAATGATAATGAGTTCTTTGAAAATAAGAAAGATGCGGCAAAAATAACGATAAAAATTTGTAATATGATTGCTTTAATTTTAAAGTTTGGGGAAAAAAATATGGACTTTTTGCGTATTTGCGCGATAGCACTGAACGGCATGTCTAAAATTAAGGAATCATGTAGTTAAAAACGAGATTTTACAAGGCCAATCTACATATATTACAAATTTTTTGAGCAAATAGTGATAATAATCATTATTAATCTTTTAATTAACACACTAAATGCGTTTATTACCGTATATCAATTTGTTTGATCAATACTACATTTAGAAATTATAAAATTTCAATTTAATATTAAATAAATTGTCACTTTTAAGAGTCAATATTCTTAATTTTTTTTTCAACTGTTACTGTTGACTTTAACTGTTTTATGTAAATAATTCATTATTGAAGTGTGAACATTTAAAATTGAATTCAACAGTGAAAAAGTAAAGAGACTGAGAAGGCGTCTGGCCCAAATATAGTCATTGATGATTATTTTTGTTTACTAAACGTATCTGTAATTATATTATTCGGCACACACATCTTACAGAGAGCCTTGAATTATCGAGCCAAGATGACGAAAAGTATGCGGGATATTCCTGAGACGTCTTGCCTCGGCGCCACGGACAATGATGGATCTGGAAGGTCCGGGATCAGGTGTCAGACTGATGATCGACCTGACCTGGTCGAACGAGTGTCGTAAGCGCGCGCGACATCTTTTACTCCGCTCTTTCCCGCCGCCTCTCGTCGCCGAGCGGCGCCTACAGGTTCCCTTGACCTCGAAAATCCCTCGGGAAGCGTGCAGTCAGGGTCGTGTTCCGTTGGCCCTCCCCCCCTTCCCGCCCCCTTATTCTTGTTTTATGCCTCACTCGCGGCTTATCTCTCGCGGCGATAGCACGGCGCTGCTAATTAGCAAGTCGTCGCCGCCTCGTAACGTCTGTTGGTCGCTCGCTCGCTTGCAAATGTGTGTACGCGGCAGCCGGATGGCGCGTATGTGTTGCGTGCGTAGTAACACGCACACACGGGCGCGCGCGACCATCAAATAAGCGCGAGAAGGTGAGGAGATGTGAAGACGGAGAGAGAAAGAGACAGAGGGGCAAGAGCGAGTAACCGCGTGGCGCAGCGCATACGAATGTCTGCGTGTACAGTACGTCTGATTAATGGTCGCTGTACGAGCGATTGACGCATTTTTCGATTAAACAACGTCGCTTCAATGATTCGCTAATATCGCGAATCACACGTAGCAGCGCGCTTAAATCACTTCGCGCGACCGGAGAAAGTGTATTACAAGCGCGGTCAATCTCGCCTTCATCCTGATGGTCCGAGTAATTAATACGTGGTTAATACTGCGCAACGATAATGCACTCAGTACACGGCGCCAGGCTCATTCATGCTGGTGTATCCTGCATATGCAGACTGATTACACACCGGAGCGTTAAAGCAAAGGCATCACTCAATTTGGAGCGCTCGCCGTCCTAATGGATGGAAACATCGGTTCGTACTCTCATCGAATATTTAACGCCGAAAGTGAATACTTTATCACCCCGTCAGAGCTTAAACGAAAACATTTCAAAAATCAACATTCGCTTTAAACAATATAATAAATTTACAAAAATCGAGAGTTCGAATCTGCGTTAAACTGTACTTCTTTTTTTAATTGCTCAGAACGTGAGCGATGAATGATAAACGTGGTCGGACAGATCAATGCGCGTAATTCGCGCAGGGAGCAGACGCTCAAGTGTCATTTGGAAATCTCGAGAGTCTCCGAGGCGGAGATCAACCGGTGCGTATGTGCTCCGAGCGCGGCACGCGTGACACATCTCGTGATCCCGCGGAGAAAACATCGATAACGTCTACTGTACACGAGCGCGCACACACGCGTGCACACGTATTCGCACCGTGCCGCCGTGCACCACGTCTGTGCGAAATGATCGCGATGCACGAAATCGGTCTTACCGCTCGATCGGTCCTCTCTGCCTGCGCGTAGTTATCCGTCGTACGACGAAAACAGTACTGGTCTGGCTGACGATCTCATCCTCCAGCGATGCCTCGCACACACATCAGTCGGACACGCGCGCGCGCGCTTCGAAATTCGCGAGAAAAAACGGACAGGTAACAGCTAGAAGCAGGCGGAAGTTTCACGCGTGTAAAATCACGCTCCGGACGGTGCCGGACGCTTTCGGGCGCGATGGAAGAAACTGACGGTGCCGCACCGTCTGTTGACGGGCAAACCAGCCGCCTGGCTCGATACCGTCTTTTTCCCCTTGCGCGCATGTGCCACTGGCTGATCGTAACATTCAGGTTCCACCGTTTCTGTTTCGCTGGCAAGAACGAGATCTGCTGTCTTCCAAGCGGTTGCATCATGAGCTCAAAGTGTATCCTATCGTTGTAATTATAGCACTTGGAATTCTTCGATGATTGAACAATTCGAACTTCCTGTTCGAACCTTAGAATCCAGGCTGCAAATATATCGATTTTATATCTGAAAAATTCGAATCAGATTTTTGCTCGCATTTTTTCCAATTTTTAAACTGAACATTTAAAAATTAATTTAAAAATTTAACTTAAGGTTCAACCCTTAGTTTTATTTCAACTAAACAAACTTTCCGAAATTTAAATATTTCTCTTTCAAATTGTTCAAATCGTCCAATTTATTTCAATCTAAATGAATTAAAAAATTCGAAATTTATAATAAAATTAAAACAAATATTTGTGTCTTTTATTATGTATATTAAACTGCAAAAGAATTACAAAGAATATTGATGTCTTTTTTAATATCCGGAGCAAATAAAATCTCGATAGGTTTTACGATCCAGTAGATAAGACATTCGTTGAGATAAGCAATTCTTGCACCTTTAACATTAACGGATATTAGTTACGTTTATTTATTCATGGAATAATATTTTTTCATAAAATTATAATATAGTTCGAAGGGAAATTTTTATTCTTATTTGAATTGCTTACTTTTCTTTAATACCGTATCCAGTAAATCTATTTTTGGCGATAAAGATGTTCTTTTCGTAATTAACTTAACTTAATAATAATAAATATAACAATATTGATTGCAAATACTGCTATTACTTATCAGGTTCTTTAAAGTACGTGCAGAAAGAAAAGATTAATCGCTTTTATCTAATAACCGAAGAAAACCATTTACACAGGTGCGAACGTTAAGTGAAAAATGTTTAATTTAAACTTCAACGTGCATCGCAAGAGTACCGTACGGCTACTAACATATCCCATTTCGATTTATCACACAGTCGGTTTAATCGGGGAAAGCCGTAATAAACTTTTATTTCGCGAACACGCATTGGAAACGGAATTAGATAAAGTTCAGCGCAAAATGTTAAGGCCAAGCAATAAAAAAAGATCGGAGACCAAAGAACAGTGCGTACGTCAAATAATCACGGACCTGATATTAATTTTCGCGGTGCCGATAAAGAAATTTCATATTAAGTTTGATACGAGACGAAAATAAGTAGCGTGTGCTTTGGAGCGAGCACGTCTCAATTGCGTTTCAACGTAGAATGAACTTCGTGTGAGTCATCGGATGAAAATATCTCACTTCATCCAGTGCGGACAGATCGTATGTAATCGATCGTGTGCAAATAAATAAGCAACTCCTATCTAAATTTGAATTAATAAACACAGCAGTGGTAACGTGCAATCGCATTTACAGTAAATGAAACGCGATCGCCTGTAATCGGACGCATCAGACACGAAATCGAAAATGATCGTAACGCGACGACCATTTTTATCGAGTTTTTCAGCGAAAGTTGTTAATAATCCGTTATTGCCATCTGTTTTTAAGACTAATCACCGTGCTCTTAATTGCACCTGTCTTGTCTGCAGACAAAGTGAAGAGAAAGTTGCAAATAAGATGCGATCGATAAATCGAAGATAATTTATGCTTTCCATTATTTGCGTTTTTGTAGAATTCTTTTCTATCTTTTTATTCAAAGAATCAGTGTATAATTTCTTGTTAAAAATATAAGATTAGCGATAAAATTCTTCAGAATGATATATATAATAGATACACAAACTAGAATTTTTTGGTAATTAAAATTTTCTTATGTGACATTTACTCTTGTGTGTTAGCTGATATAAAAAATCAGGATTCCAGAAGAGTTGAAATATATTCTGGAATGCGCTTATCATACTTCTTTGTTTTATTCACAGAATAATATTGTTATCGTAATATTTTGATAAGATAACAATTGTTAGCATACCAACTGCTGGATGAAAAGGTGCTGATAACATATCTACGTTCTCTGTTAGGCTTTCAACGAGGATCGAGAGATATATTATGTCGGTAACATACCAGTTTCAGGTTTACAGAGTTGGCATTCGATAATTTATCTTCGTTCTATTTGTACAATAATGCTAAAAGAATAAGAATCACCTATCGATATAAGAATTCTATCGATATACCTATCGATCGTTTTTAATAAATAAATAACAATTAATTATTTGAAGAAATATATAGAGTTAGAATTTATTCTAAAAATTTCTGTTAGAACAGTTGCGATTATGTCAATGTTTTTTACGCAACCACTGATATTCCAACGCGCGCCACTAATGAGGACAATTATTTGCGCGCAGCAAGAAAAATGGAATGTAAACAAATTCATAATAAACTTGGTGAAGAGAAATCAAGCAAATCGCTCTTGCAAAGTTTATCGATTGCTTTATAGCAACTAATTGACTTACTGTTTGATTTCCTCGTAGCAGATCGTCTCTGGCCTTTGGAATCTTTGCTCGTGACCTGCGCGAAGAATTTTGTGTTAATAATAGTTATATAATTCGACTTATGTGTATAATACGCAACTCCGTTTTATTTAATTTACTTTGATCTTGTTTGAAGGCGGAATCAGCGTAAACGGATAATACGAATTTAGATTTCGACAGATGTGAAACTGGTAAACTAATGGAATTAACTCCTCGCACTCAATTTTAAAAAACTATCTGCAAATAAAAATAATTTTTAGTTAGAATTAGATAAGTACGAGAAAAATTACTAGTATTAATATTAGTAATTTTCTCGTACTTATCCAATTAATATTAAGAATTATTTTTAATTACAGATACTTCATTAAAATTGAGTGTGATGACTTAGACACGAAAGTCACCATAGGATGAAATAACGATACTAATTGTAAGATTCTGCCACTAAGATTGTGATGGCAAAGTGATGGCGAAAATTAAGGCACTCGAGTAAATAGACTGAATAAAACACAACCGAACAAGAATTGCGCGAATTTTGACCAAATACCGCAATAAATATTATTTATTTCTACAAATATTCGTTTATAATTTGCAAAAACTTTGCGTGTATGGCAACAAGAGTTTGATTCAACAGCATTACGCAAAAAATCCTGTTTTATCGGTATTATGAATTTTATTATTTGTAATATATGTCGTAAAATTTTGATAAAAATTTTTCCTTGTATTTTAATATAATAAAAGTTTCCTCACTATATATTGCAAAATACTTTATAAATATTTATTAAAAATTAAAAATAAAAAATATTTCTATAACGTTAGTACTGGTGACACACACACAAAATGCATTTTACATTATATATATTATTACATTGATCGTTAAAACTCTATAAATAAAATGTTTCACATATATAATTTTTCTATATTTTATAACAAGTTTTGTAATTCTAAAATTTATGAATTTTTTGTAAAATACAGCAATAAAATCTAGCATAAAATATATAATTAAAAATAAATATTTAAACCATTTTTTCTAAATTATTGATTATTCGATATACACTATTTTGATGAAATCACGATCGTTATTGGCGTGATTTCTCTATTATGGATGCTTCTCTCTTAGGGTTATGATTATAAACTCGACCTCTCAGTTTACTCATACCTTATAGTTCCGCTGGAACTTGCGGAAACTGCATATCATCGATTTTGCACGATTTCCTTGTGCCCATGCAGCCACTTCGAGTTTCACCAGTAGAGAAAATACGTAACATAATTTCGAAAATCCTGATAGCTCTTCTCGAGATATAGAGATTCTTTAATTATTAAGATTAATTTATGGAATATTATTTTAAGACTTATATAACCATGTCATATTTTTTACATTTTTTAATACTAAATACAGTTTGTAAATTTATTTATCTAATTTTTAGAATAATTGATTTCTTAAAATTTCTATCTTTTTACATTCTCTCTTAACACTTTGTACTTTTTAAATACGCTTACTTCAAATATATTAAGCAAAAGATGTTATATTTTATATTATATATATTTCTGTATTGATCATTCTTTAATTATTATTGTTGAGAATATTGAAAAAACACTAAAAGCCTTGCATACATGATGACTTCAAATTTTATACATTTTGCGTTTTTTTAAAAAAGTAAATATTTGAATATTTATATTGCTAGGTCCTAATATTTTTCAATGGTTAGTTGTAGAAATTTTGACGAAATAAGAATTTCGTTAGACAGTCTTAGTTAAAATACATGGGAACTTTTTAAGGAAAGGAAACATATCGGAATGTATTTATAGATAAAATTTAAATCTGAATACCCATACAACACCGAAAACACGCTCGGTCTGCTGTATTGCATTGTGCCAAATGCTTGCACGTTTCTCAATGAACCCTTTATATGCTCAGAAAGGGGAGATTTTATTCGTGATCCGCGTACCTTATATGCTAAATCGTTCAAGATTCAAACGTCATAAATGCATAGAACACCGCAAGGAACCTGCTCCGGAGTTTATTCGCATGAAAAATCGCATAGTAAAGAATACAAATGCATATATTTGTCTGTTTGGCTTTGAGAGAAAGAGAGAGAGAGAGAGAGAGAGAGGGGGAGAGAGAGCGAGAGAGAAAGGCAGGCATGCAGCTACTGCAGCCGTTATTACATTCCGCGTACCTAAGCAAAAATAGCGCCAGAAGCTAACGAATTAATATTACAGAGACCATCTCAAGACAAACATTCCTCTTTTGCCACATTCTTGAAACTGCACCTCTCGCTGGTATTTATCGCGTTGCAAGTTATCTGTGGTGAACCTCTGTATCCACGTTTAATGAAATGCTTGGTTGTTTTTATATTATTTTTGAGATATAGCTTACTTATCATTATTTAATGAACATAAGCGATGTTTTACGTATGCTGTAATTATCTCAATATTTTCGATGTTTTCCAAATTAAAAAAAAATATTTTTAGACAGACATAATAAATGCTACATTTCTGATACAACATCGTGAGTATCAAAT